GGAAGGCAGAGAGAAGCTTTAGCTCGAGAATGAGTTTCGGCACTGTTCATCTTGGTGGGGGCATTTTACTTCTGCTTGACCTGCAAATCCTGTGAACATGGGCAATAGCAGGAGCTCCATTTACATTTGACTAGAACCTACAAACCTTACCAAGGTGAGACGTGTAATTTCACAGTAACTATCAAAAGAAACTAGAAGTGCAAAATACCCCTACCAAGGCGAACAGTGCCCAGCAGCTCCGCTACGATTCAGTCCAACTTAGTAGTAGAACAAGCACTGTTAGGCACAGATCACTTGACAGCACGCTGCTATGAGCAGGGCAGGTCCCAGGGTTTGGAAAAATTGCCGCTACATGCCCCTCTCCCAATCTTTCTTTCCACGACCGATCGATCATCTCACGGAGCTGTTCCAAAAATTTGATTCTAGCAGAGGTGTATAGACGTTTCACGGGGAAATCAACAATCATAAAAAAATTTCTAGCAATTACGACCCCCGGGGTTCCCCAACGTACGACGTGCCCTGCTTATGAGCAAGGGAATGAACGTCAGTCAAGGGAATGAACGTCAGTGAAGACTAGAACTTGGACCTACAGCTGACCGAGCTGATGAAAATAGACGAGTTCTCTATTCAGGGCACATCACTGATTGGGGATTTTAGTCCAGTCCATACGTCCACCACCCCCCAACCCCCTTTTGGGGTTCTACGACCCTCTGTCCCTCAAATCGAGCCGTCGAGCGTGGGGGGGGAGGGGAGCCAAAAGTAAATGTGAAACGGGAAAAGCCGCGAGAAAAAATATGACCCCTCCCTCCTACCAATTCTCAGATTTTCCCCAACTTCCTGCCACTTTTTCCAAAATTTCCCGAAACTTCCCTACTTTTTCCCAAAAATTTTGCTGTCGAGCGGGGGGGGTATATAGTACGCATGAAATAGGAAAATCACGAAAAGTCATCCACCACTCCCACCACTTTCAGAAAGGCCAAAAAGTAAATACGTAAATACGACCCCCGCTCCCCCTCACAACAATGAGCAAGTGAGATCCCCCACCCCTTTACGAAGCGAGAAAAATCAACTAAAAAAATTTTCTCAGCCCAAATATGACCCCCCTCTCCTGACGGCCAAATACGACTCCCTGTAGGGGATTCCCCAACAATGATGTGCCCTGTTTCCAGTTTAATTATGGTTTCGAAACCGGAATTTAGCCCGTCGGGTCCTCCCCCCCCCTCCCTCATTCCTGTTTCGCTCTCTCATAAGATAATTTTCCACCCGACATTCTGCTTTGCCTGCAATTACCTCATATTGAGGCGCTAACGACGGCTTCTCAAAACCATAAAAAGAAGGATATGAAAGGAGAAGTCAAGACAGAAGCAATGGATAAAGGAATCAATATGAAAGCGCTTTTTTTCTGTCCACATGAGGCAATAAATGGCTTCTCTGGACAGCTTTTACAAGGAATGACTTCCATTTGACAGCTCCTGTGGCGAAGCCTACGAAAAATGTCTTTCATTTACATGAAGAGAAGTGTTCCAAAACAGCTGCGAGGGTGGGATGAGAGCTTTTCTTGAGACAGGGGGGGGGGTGCAGTGCGCACTATACCTTCCTGCGCACAGCGAAAAGGAAACGTTCGGGTAGGACGTACAGGAACAGGGTGCATCATCGCTCTGTCGGAAGTCCTGCAAAATACACCCCCCCCTCGCAGGTAGAGATATTGTCAAGGAAGTCCTAATTTGCCGATCTGTCGCGCGCGGCGTTTTCCTGAACTCCATGAGCCTATCGATTGAAGTACAGAATTTCCGGTAAACTACGACATCACAAAAATTGCGGTTATTTTCGATAACACACTGTATACCGTCGCTGTCTACGACCCAAGAACTTCGCCATTCATGGGCGCGACGTCGCACTACCAGCGCGACGTCGCGCCCACAAGTGGCGAAGCTACCAGCGCGACGAATAAGATTGTCTTGTCACGTACCCCACCCACATTTCCTCATGTTTCTCTCCAATACGACTCTCTCTCACAACTCAAACCAGATGTTCCGAAGAAATTCAGCAGTCGAAAACATCTCTTTTGGCGGAATAACGTGTGACCCCTTCCTTTCCCTGCAGCCCTAATACGACCTCGTTCCAAGTTCCACACACGACGATGTACCGCTGCTTCGGAAAACACAGTGCTTCAATGAGCAAAACATATATGCCAGTTGAATGTACGGAAAATGGATTTAAACGGGTGGGGTGGGGGGGCGCGCGAATCCGCGATGGTGTTGGCGAAACGGGTGGAAAAACAGTTCGAAGTCGGCTAAAAAAATCACAAGCGATAAAGTACCAACCCCTCCCATCGCCTTTTGACGAACCCCCCCACGCACGACGTGACCAGTAGCAGGAAAAAATTGAGCCCTTGAAACGGGTTTCAACTTGGACCTTCCGTTTACGAGCGAATGTGACGACGATATCACCGCCAAGCCACCTTATTAAATTAAGACAGAACGCTATTTATGACACGGCTCACGCCGAAGATTAGGCGTCATCGGAGCTGCGGAGTCTCCCAACCAACTCGGGACGTTCATTTGGGGCAGTATGTCGGAAATGACAAAGTACGCGAAAGGATCAATAGACTTACAGCTAGTTCTCCTAACTTATCTAATCCAAAGACGACAATGCTTACATCTAGGAGGTTTCCCAGAAAATAAGACCAATCAACTAGAAGCCGCCTTGAATTTCAAAAGAAGTCAACGTCTACATGCCGAACACCAAAGCCATACGTGCGAAGGCTAGCGCTAAAGTCCAGTTGAGGGAAAACGAGGAAAAGCGTCACTGAAAGACGTGACTGAAAGACGGAAAGCGATGAAACGAAACAGTCTCCTATTGAATAATCGATCTGCAATTTCAGACTCAAAGCAAAACACTGGAAGGGTAGTTCGCGGATGGTATGCTTTTGCGACTTTTGCCCCTTTCCATCTAGGGAGCCGTTTCATGAGCTTGCCAGGAGTTGACAGGTTTTACCATGGTGGCTTCGCGAGCTCGAGCTGCACAAAAGTTCACAAGTTTCACCAGAGTGAGATTTGTAAAGCGGAACTAGTTAAGCAGTGAGAATGCAAAATGCCCCCTCCCACTTCGCCGAACTGCGCCCACTGGAAATAGAGTGCTCCGATGGTTCCAGTTACTCTTCAGAAAAAAAAAACTGCCTCCGTTAAAAAAGACTAGCATTTCGCCTAACAGGCAGGCCCTCCATGATTTAAGAAGTAAAAAACAAAGTCAAAATGTTAGTCTTTTAGAGTGGAAACGTCTCTTACAGATAATGATACAGCAGAAAAATTCGTTCAGCTGAACACTGCAAACAAACGCAGTCGATCAATCCGCGTGACATCGACTTTCAGAAAACACACCACGCCTGCATTACATATTCCAACTAACTACCGCGTCGGTACTCAAAACAAATTTCAGTAATCGCTAAAGAACTCGACGAAAGCAGACTTGCCG